ATAAATAAAATATATCTTTAAAAAGATGAATAAAGACAAAAGGAAAACTTTTCTTTACCAACATTTTGTCCCCTTAATAAAGTCCATCAGGATGAAATGCATTGGTAAATAAGTTTTCCTTTTGTCATTATTCATTTATATATTGAAAAAAAATGTTTAAATCCTTAACTTCATGTTATTCAAAATATATAACACATAAATTAATCCCAAACTAAAATGATTTAAATACTAATTTACATAAAAAAAAAATTTCAAAAGCATCACTTACTCACTTTTGTTTATTATACAGTGAATTGTGTCACGTCTTGTCCTCCATAACTTGCCTGACTTCAGCTAATCTGATGAATATTTATGAGTGTACTAAACTTAAAAATTAATAATTAATGGGTTTCAAACATTATTGTTTTTTTGTTTTTTTCTGGAGCCAAATTCCAAATTTTTGATGCATTTGGCCTTGTGATTTGTTTATAGCTTTTGCAAATGCAGGGTGAACTGGAAACTGGATTTTGTATATAAAAACTTAAAGATATACAAAAACAATACTGCATTTTTATTAAATAAGTATTTGTTATTTTAATCATTAAATTGTTTTTAAAATAGTAGAAGTATTTTGTATGTTAAATAATAAAACTTAATTTTTACCAAAAAATGAACAAAAATTTATTGTACTAAGCTATGTTCTCTAGTAAAACCAACTGTGCTTTGTACTCCCCCCCTTACCTGTTTTACTTCTCCCCAAAATTTGGCTTTGATAGGTCAATGTATGGCTATTTTAGAGAGGGTGACAGATGAATGGATGGACAAAAGGAAATCGGTTTATATATATTATATATATATATATATATATATATATATATATATATATATATCAATCACTTGCTACTGCAAAAACAGCTGTGCCAAACTTCCATTAGATGATGACTTTGGTTTCAGAGCATCATCTTCATTTTCATCCCTCTTCTTTTTCTTTCAAGGCCATCCTATATTTATCTTTCTATACCACTTCAAGTCAAAGGGCCAATGTTATTTATCCTGCTTATCCTCATAATCTTTACTTCGTACCACCTCCTCTATCATTCATAACACACAGCTCATTCATCATTAACTTTTTTTTCAATCAATTTCAACCCATACAAAGCAGTAAAGCCACTAAGACACAAGGGATTAGTGGGTATGGAAGAATTATGAACAGAAACATTACTAATAAGCAGGAAGAGAAAACAGTATCAGGAAGATAATAGATAGCAATTGACATTGCATTTAATTTTTTCCATGTGCTCAGCCTCAAATCAGAGTCACTCCCCTGCCTTCTGCTGGGGAGTGACACTGAAGATCAATGTCATATTTATAGAAGTACCTCTGAAGAAAAGCAATACCTAAGGTTTAAGATGATTTTTTAAAAATGAAAAATCTTTCTTGAAGCTATTATTTTAGTTTTAATTTCAAGGTAATAGATTAAATTTAATATTTCCAGTAAGCAAAATACTTTGCTGTATTTCAAAAGGAATTTAAATTTATTAGAATGAGTTTTTGTTTTGTTTTTAAATTGGAAAAAAATGGTTGATTTTAGCCATATTTACAAATCTCTCAGCACAACATAATTCTCTATATTAAAAAATCTTTAAAAAATAAAATATACTTCATTGAAACTTGAGGAAGATTAGTTGATTTAAAGTTTAATTAATCTGATTTGAAATAAATATTACTTACTTCAAAATATTGCAGGAAAGCATTTTTTTAACATAGAAGTGGGTGTGTTTTATGACATGTTGATAACTATCTCAATAGACTTATGTTTGGAATTTTTTTTTCAATAGGGCACATATCTGTAAAAATTACTTGAGAAATACAAGAGAAGTTCAGATTTAGTAGTAGGGAGCATATAATTACCGTGTTGCCTCTTTGACCAGCAGCAGCTAAAGAACATGTAGCTTTCTTAACCCTAAGAGGTCACATGGTAACAGACTCATACAAATTACAGCTAAACACATGTATGCAATAAATGTCTATTTTTATATTTTTATGGAACATTAAAAATTTTAACTCTATTGCTACTGCTACCATGTTGCTATTAAGTAGCAAATTCTGTAATCCTGTGAACACATATAGTGGTCACTTCAGCAACTGTTACAATGATATTAGACATTTCCTTACAAGGAAACATTTAGCATTCAATGGCCAAGCTGCCAGTTTTTGGTTGAAATTTGTAAAATCTTTCTATTAAAACAGTTTTTTAATAAAATATTTTTTTCAAGTTACCTGTTATCACTCTTTCCAGTATTGATGGTGCCTTCCTTTCTAATCTTTGGTTCAAAGTAATGTCAAATATCAACATTTTGATTATGTTATTATTTTCTCCTTGAGTTACATGTGATATCCATTTTATCTGTTGCTGTTGTTGAAAGTCCTCAAGTAATTTCTGTTTCTGTTTATTTGGTACAGTTCTTTGTTTTTGATTCTGTAGTGCCATTCTACAAGGTTAGAAAAAAGATGGTCTTCACAATGACCTACAGGCTTCACTCACTCAACCATTTTTAATTATTGATCCGAGAAAACAGTTGTACAGGTGACAGTCTACATTAATTCCTGACCATTAACAATACCTTTCTTCTTGATTTTCAGTGTTCAAAATACAAAATGCCAAAACTTGCTCAAACAGATTTTCAGTAAAAATTGAAAAACTCAGTTTTTGATCATCAATTTTTTTTTTAACTCTATAATCAGAATCATTACTTTGTTAATTACAGAAATTTGTTAATTACAAAAAAAAAGACTAAAATGAAAGAGTATTGGTAAAGTCACAGATTACAGTGAAGAAAAATTCAAAGTTTTTTCTTTATGTAACAGCTTCAAATGCAATTAGTGTTAAAATACAGCTGGGATCATTGTTTGTTTTCCTTTTTTATTGCCAGAAAAGAAAGTACTGTCCTCTTTTATATATGCACAGTGGCAGCAGTGCTGGTCCACTTTGTGAAAAATAGGGAATTGTCACTTAGTGAAAATAAATGACTATAAATGCTGAAGGCAATTTCTCGTGGACACTGCCATTTTGGTTTCAATTGGATACTCTGCAGTACAGACATATATAGTACAGATAAGAAAATGAATTGGTATATAATCCAAGTGGATCCTAGTAATATAAAACTGATCTACAACAAAAGCTCAATGTACTTATTATTACAGACCAAAAATTAATATGTTCTGGCTTTAAATATAGGGTTGATAAACTGTAAAAATAAATCAATCAATCAATCAATAACTAGTTCTTAGTGCTATTTCCAACCCAGCACAGACATATAGTAGTGTACAATACAACTTGTTAAAGGAAGTATCTAAGATATATATATATATATATATATATATATATATATATATATATATATATATATATATATATACACACACACACACACACAGCAAGCAATGTAAGTTTAGTAAAAATATATATAAGTGCATCCACAGCAGCAGAAGTATTAATAAGTCCAACCTGTGATAAGATGTTATATAGGCATATAAATGACTATTTGGTATTTGAATACTAAAGTTAACTCACTGCATCTTAAAGAAAAGAAATTGTTGAATTTTCCTATTTTACAACAGCAGAGTTGATGAACAATATGGATTATTATTATATCATGTGTACTCTGTTCCTATAAAACAGGACAATTTAGAGGAAAAATAATTTTCCGGGGTAGAGTCATTTGCAATAATAGTTGCCTATTCCCAACTAAAACCACCAATATTTCTGGATTCCAAGTGCTGTAAATGAATAAAGAATTAACTCTCTTAGGACTAAACTTTTTATTTTTAATTTCCACTCATGATTTTTGCCATCTTCAAAAATATTTAAATATTTGAGCTCTAAATCTATGAAAGGCAACATTTAATTTTTCTTTCATCAGTTTATGGTAATTTTTTGTCGTGAAAGAGATAATCAGGTACCCCGGAAAAAAGTTTGTGTTTTGTGTGCGATCTGCCGAAGAAGGATTACCAAAAAGTAGTCAACAAAAATCTTATAGCGAAGAAAACGTCGACTTACCTCATCAAACCAAGCGACAGCGCGTCGCATGTATTCTGTGATGAAAAAAGAAACAAGTCTGTTGCAGGAGTCGTTATTAGAGGATATTGATATGCAAATTATGGAGAATCCTATCCTAGCTGTTGACAAATGAAAAAAACAGGTTCTGCCGATAAAAGCAGTTGGTGTTCTCGATTCGGAGAAGGGAAATTCGGGCATTTATGGCTTCGGCGTTTGTTAGAGAGTGAGTTATTTTCCTGACTGGTTACACGCATTGTGATTCGAGATAGTACCGGTGAATCGAGTTTTCAGCATTTCTTTCTGCCCCCGATATTCGAGTCTGTACTTACGGTGATTTTTCTTTGTGTTGTGGAAGTAATCTGCAACAAATACTTCCCTTGCTTTCAGAACGCTTACACTTACACTTTTCCTTAAAAAAGGCTTTCTGAAATACTTTAGGTGGTTTTGCCAAAGTTCTCTTGTTGAATCCATGCATTTTACACAAAAGCTTCAAATAAATACTCAGGGAGATAACTATTTTTTGTGTGATGGAACAATAATAATGATGCTTCTACTCAAAGTGATCTTTGTTAATTCTTCAATCTTTGATAACATTTTGGTTCAATTTATAACATAAATTTAAAAAATAAGAAACTCTGTTCTCGATATAGAGTGGACAAGCTAAGTAGAAGATTAAAAGCCAAAGGGAATAACCTCTCTCAGAACATAATGATGAATTAGTTCAAGTCAAATATCAATGATTTTCTGTTGTCAATGACTTGTCAACTTAGAATCGTTGGTCTTCTGATCACACATATTTTTCTAACTCACAATTCCAATCATGGACGATATTGTAATTTATAAATATCGTCACATTGTTATTTTTTTTCTGACATTTTTTATTGTATATCTTTATTGATACTGACATTGATACAGGTTTTTTATTTCTTTTTTCACTGTTGTTTTTTTTTTTGCTTTTTAGGATGGTAAGCATACGTGCAGTGGGGACAACTTCTCTGAGTCTATCAATCAAGTGATGATGTCCAAGTGTGTAGTAGCAGCAGGACTGAACTGCACCAGCCCAATATATGTGACTGACTTACTGGACACCCTTCGACCTTATTCAGTTGTCAAGCCTATCATAGTAAAACCAAACAGTGGAGAAATGTGGGACACATCACACAAGTCAGTATTTGAGAAAAGCCAATATGCTAAAAACAAGTTTTAGCTTGTTATGATTTGGCTGTTTGTTTTGTTTTTAATTTTAAACCAAAATTGTTTCCATTTTATTAAGAGATACTTTTGAAAACTTTTCAATAATAACTGTAATAATGGGACTTGGAATAAAAACAAAAAATAACCTGGAGTTAAATCTTGACTATATGAAATATATTCCAATATTAAAACTTTCAGATCAATTCTTTCTCATTATTGAGTTTTTTCTATCCCAACAGAAATCCTTAAGTAGCCAAGTAATATTGTCATGATTGTGTGTTTTAGCAAATGCAATGAAGCCTGCCTACTTGATTTTTTTTTTTTTTTTGAACAATGTTCTCTTGTAGAAATATTGAAAGTATTAAAAGGGTTTTCATTTTGTCACTAATAATTTTAGCAATTGTATTTCTAAAAACTAAAGTCCACTTGGTACATAAAAGTCTTTTTGTAAGTGAAAGTGTTAAACGCCATGAGCTATAGTTTTTAAAATACTCTAAGTATCAACTGTCATTGAGTACAAACTAATTTTGCTAAGTCATACTAAGTGGAAATTACAACTATTAAAAAAGAAAATAATTACCAAATTTTGTGATGAACAACAATTTACAAAGTTTTCTTATCTCAATCACAAAATTGTTGACTTTTGTATCTACTAGTAAATACAATTATGATTAAAACTTCTGTTTTATACTTTGGGACTGTAAGAGAAACACTACTTAAATGTTACTACTGTTCACAACTATAAGTTTCATGTGGATTTGTGGATGGTAATATTGCTGTCATACAATCTTCGGATATATTTTAATCAGTATTATCCCATGTAAGGCAGTACAGCCACTAGCATGCAAGGGGTTACAGGGTGTGGAGGAATTAGGAATAGATAGCGACTGACATTGCATTTAAATTTTTGGCAGATTAAAGTTGGCTTGAAAGCATAGAGCTGGAAGGGAGTTCCACAAGCAAGAAGTGCGAGAAAAGATACTGTCAGCATAGAAGTTACAGCTAGCTCAACTGTAAATTGAGATCTCACTGCCAGTCTAGTATTGTGCTTAAACTCCTGCAGTCTAGGTACCACAGCAAAGACCTTATCTGAACAATTACCATGAAAGTATTTATAAAAAAGGTACAGAGAGGCAACCTTACACTGATAGGCAAGTAACTGAAGCCAAGCCACCAGATCAGGACCAATAATATTGCTGATTCTTCTTTAGATCTTATCAAGGAGCTCAAGGTAAATAGCAGAGGCAGTGGACCATATAAGGCAGTAATATCCTAAGCATGGACAAAAGGTAGACTTATAGATGTGCAAGATAGATTTCACCCAACATAGTGAATAGACTATCTTAGCAGCTGATCTAGCAATGGATTCAATATAGTCTTTCCACCTCATGTCAGCTGAGAACATTAACCTGAGAAGGCGCAATGGGTTACTTTCTTGGAGGATAGCATCAGCCATGCTGATGGAAGGCAGAGAGGGGTCTCTGAGATGATTAACATAGAGAAGTTTAGGTTTGGAGACATTAAAATTGACAAGCTACCTTTTGTTCCAATTAACAATGGTCTTGAGGTCATTTTGGACATCAGCTGTCACTTTGACCTTTTCGGAATGATCAACCTTACTATCAAGGCAAGATTAAATGGTAGTGTCATCAGTGTAGATGCCAAGTTGGGAGCTGATATCATCAGGAAGGTCATTAATGAAGATTAAGAACAACATAGGACCAAGAATAGAGCCCAGTGGGGGACACCCAAGTATGAAAGGATGTAGATGAGTAGCCATTTGGGACTACTTTCATTTCTCAATTTGATAGGAACAACTGGATCATCTCAAAAGTGTGCCCAGAAATACTGTAACTTTTCAGCTTGTGGAGAGACATGAATGCCAGAACTTGTCAAAGGCTTACAAAATGTTCAATGCTACAGCCTTGGCTACACCATTTTTATCTAGAGCATCACAGACTCTATCCACAATTATCATTAGTACATGAGCAGTTGACCTTGAGAAACGAAAGCTGTATTGCTTGTCTGAGAAAAGGCCCTGTGATGAGAGATGATGAACCAATTCAGCTATGATTAGGGCCTCTAGGAGTTTCCAAAAATGAAGGCTAATAGGCCAATAGTTGAATGGTTGACCAAATTAAAAACTGGAACAACAGATGATGACTTCCAACAGGCAGGAAATCAGGAGGCTGCGAGGCATTTATTATACAGTTCAGCAGAGAACAGGAGCTACTTCAGGAATGACTATTACAGGGATGCCATTGGGTTCACTTGCTTTGTAGGGATCAAGGTTAGAGATGATAGCAGAAACCATGGAAGGGTTTATGTGCATATCATTCAACAGGGAATCAGTTCTAAGTAGGAAATTAGGTAAGGATACTCTAGATGAGTCAAAAGTAAAGTTTGAGGAGAATTTATAGGCAAAGCATTCACCTTTGTCAGCAGAGGATGATAACACCTTAAATTGATTGAATAGGAGGGAATAGAGACGTTGCACTTATTTAGTACTCTATTAAAGAGACACCAGTTGTTATGAGAGTCAAAGTTTTTAGAGGCTATACATTGCTTCATTCTCTCAGCAAACAGGGACTTAGCTTCTTCAAGGACTTGCTTACATTTGTTATGAGCAGTAGCAAATAGGCACCTGTTATGATGAGAGCTGTCATGCTGGTATAGCTGGAAATAGTGGTTCTTGGGAGCTATGGTGGCTGAGCATACTGATGTGAACCATGGAGAGGATTGCGGTTTCACGTGGTATTTCTGAGAAGGGATGAAAACTTCCATGCCAGATTTGACCAAAAAAAGGCTCAGTGGTTCAATTTTCAATTGGGAAGTTGAGCTCCAATCAGCATACTGGTAATGGAAAGAGTTCTTATCGATAGGGAGTTTAATGGATGCTTGGAAGGTGATATCAATAGCTACCACAGTATGGTCCAAGTTACCAAGAGGGAAGTATTGCAAAGTTCAGCAAGAGTGAGGAGAGGAGGTAAGAGATGTATCAAGTAGAGAAGCATGTTGCTCGGTTTGGTTAGGGAAATGAATAGAGAAGTTCACGATTTAAGTGAGGGATTGAGCAATGGAAAAATTTAACATCTGTATATCGGCAACATCAGTATCTTTAGAATATTTCAGCCATGTGTCGTGATGAGCATTAAAGTCACCGAAGACAAAGATGTTCACAGATGGTTGGAGAGAAAATTCCTTTTCTATACTGTCAGCTATTGCGCCTAATATACTGTAGTTTTGCAGGGGGGCGATAAAAGATAAAAAGATAGTAGCAAAAGATGGAAGCACATGAAAAAGTAGTCAGTGGTCACAAGATATATATATATTTTCTGTTTATACGTTATTTTTATAGATACAATTTACTTAAATGCTCTGTCTTTTAATTAAACAGCATTTATTACATTTACCGGCCTGAATGTTTGAGAAATTTTGTAGAAAATATGCATTCTCTAACAGGAATTGAACCTGTATTCCTATATGGAAACCATCATTTTACCTGATGTGCTGTACGATCGAGAAAAATCATTGAAGATTGTGTGTTTATAATCAGTAATTCAGACTTTGCTAACCAGTCACTTCTCTGTAGCTGAATGGTACACATTCAGCTACAGAGAAGTGACTGGTTAGCAAAGTACACATTCAGTGAAATGACTGGTTAGCAAAGTACACATTCAGCTACAGAGAAGTGACTGGTTAGCAAAGTCTGAATTACTGATTATAAACACACAATCTTCAATGATTTTTCTCGATCGATCATTTCTGCTCACAAAATGTATCTTAACATAAACAATGACATGTAATAAAATATATAAACAAAAAATATATTAAATAATTGTCAGACTTAATCTGTTTCATTTTATAAATATATATATATACATATATACACAAACTAATTAACCACTGTGATGGAATTCAGAGATAATCTATATCATATAACATTTCTTTTATTGTATACTAGCAGTAGAGCCCGGCGTTGCCCGGGGATGTAACAGTAAGAGATAGATCAAGTATCGACCATCATAAAGACTGAAAAATAAAATTGACAAAGATTATTGTTTAAGGTTGACGGACACGCATGTCTTAATTAGTTTTTTTTTTTTTTTTTTTACAAATTGGTCAAACCCAAATTCAAACAAAAACTTTGTTTACAATCGTTATGAGTCTATCGATTGGTGAATAGAATTTTATTATAAACAATTGTCTTGTAAATGGAATTTTTAAAGCATTCTGAATGTAAAAATAGAGAAAAAAGTGTGCAAGACAATAAGAAACACTACCTGTCAAAAAAAAGTGAAGTTTTGTTGAAATCGGTTGAAAAATGTAGGTAGCCTTTCTTTGTAATCTTTTACAATTTATGATTTTTACTTATTGAATACAGTAAAAAAAATTGCATATTTTGCTTGTGGTGATTCATAATTAGAATTCTGATTTGAATATATTTTCCACTCGTTGTTTCTAATACAAAAAATATTAACTTTATTTGGGTTTATTAATCTTATTACAAGTACTGTGTTCTTTCCTTAATAATTATCATCTTCGAAATATTGTTGTTTTTTGTCTATCAGATTTCTTACGTCGGCATTTTTAAATTATTTCTTAATACTTTCTTTTAAATATTGAATTAATTTCAAATAGAACCAATGCCTTATTGATCTGCCTTGTAACAAATTGCAAAGGGAATTGTAAAAACGGCCTTAAAGTACGTGGAATTATCTTTCCCTAAAGATAAAGAATTATCCGATTTTTCGATTCGTACAATCAGTAGAGATCGTTAGATTATTGTTTAGGTTGACGGATACGCATGTCTTAGTTTTTTTTTTTTTTACGAATTGGTCAAACTCAAACAAAAACATTGTTTTCAATCGTTATGATGAGTCCCCTGATTGAATAGAATTAGAATTTTATTATAAACAATTGTCTTGTAAATGGAATTTTTAAAGCATTCTGAATGTATAAATAAAGAAAAAAGTGTGCAAGACAATAAGAAACACTACCTGCTAAAAAAAAAAGTGGATGTTTGTTTTATCGGCTGAAAAATGTAAGAAATCCGATCCCATATATAAAGGAACACATACACGCACACAAACAACCTGGGTTTTTTAACCTAAGTCACTCCGCGGAATCGCTAAAACATAGAGCATAGTCTGATGAAAAAGACGCCAAAGTTTATGAAAACAAAATTTTATCATCAAAAATAATGCTTATGTTTTTATGAAGAGGATAGACTAAATTTTTTTTAATTATTTTTAAAATTTTTCCATCTTTTTAGAATATTCTAAATTTTGATTTAAAAACCTTGTTTTCTTTTGTTGCAACAAGGGGTAGTAAATAACAGATAATTTTTAGCGCGTTTTTTGTATTTACACACATTAATTTGGAAAATCTTGCAAAAATAAAAATAATTGTCAGATGTTAATGAAACTTTCAGAAACTATTCACAGATGATCGAAATTATTATAAATATTTTTTTTTTTTATTAAAGTCATGGCAGAAATATTTTTTTTATATTTATTATCACCCCCATAATTAATTTTATGAAAAACTCTAGAAATTCGAGACCATCGGTTTTAGTGATTACAATAGTTAAAAGCACAAGGCTTTGAAGAATGCAAATCATGTTTTTTGTTTTTTTTTATTTGGCCAACGTACCTGAAAATCAGCTGTGAATTGTAACATACAAAAACTCAATAAAACAAATATATTATTTAGTTTCAAATGCTTTTATTTGTTTTAATTTGTTTTTATGAATATGGACAATATTTTCTAAAAGCAAAAAATTTTTTCAATGAAAATTGAATTTTTAATACAATTATTTCTTATTTCTTTAATTTTAAAAAGATTTTTAAAATATTTTTAAATTGAATTTTTAAAAATATTTTAACATTAGTTAAAAGCAACATCAACCTTTCAAAATGTCCGTGTGAGATTGTCATTGTCTAGCGCTTTGAAAATTGTATAATTTGGACCAATCAGATTAGCCATGGTAATTAAGAAATGTAATTTTTGTGTTTATAGTCGGACAGTAATTATCAAGTACAGAAGACCAACCAGAATACAATTTAGTTGCATTATTTGAGTTCAGCATTGTTCTCCGCTGTTAAGCCCTTTACTTTTATGAAACACGTATGAAGAAGTTAATTTGAGTTTTCAATTTCAACTGAGAAGGGTACCTACAAGTAACAGTATCATCTTATGAAATTTAACTACTGCTAAACTTTAATTTATATGATCTTATTTTTATATTAATCTCAGTTATGACATTTTTCCATAAATGAAATATCAAAATTAATAATAAAATGAATGGAAGTACAAATAACACAGTAAAATGTAATAAATGTACATAAAATTATAATATTTTATGTACACTTCTGATAAAATTTCATAAGAAAGGTACCTAAATTAATTAGATACCTTTTTCTTATAAAATCTAATCTCATTATTAACAGTCTTATTTTTTAATTTCTTTATATTTTCCATAAAGCATCGTAAACGTAAAAATGAAAGCTAAGTACAAAAAAAAAAAAAATAAAAAAAAAAATTAGAGCAGAAAGTTTTCCTTAAAAGTAACGAGGTAAATAATTTGTTCACTTAAATAATTTCACTTCCTTCCATCCGTAGAAAGAATTATCCTCCCGTAAGTTATCTAAACGTCATGAATGTGCCTTTCGTCAATCGCCAAGCGACACACAAAAGGTTATGACCTGCTTTGTTTTATTTTCAAATTACATTTTTTCGGCGCAGAATATCAAATTCAGATTTTAATCTTTTTATCAAATCAAAAAATGATTGAAAATGATTGATTATCTGTCCTTTTTTTTGACCAAAAAAAAAAACAATATTTTTAACGAAAATTTCAGGCGTGCTAGGAATGATTAAAAATGTAAAAAAATACCCCCAAAATACTTTGATCTTTCCTCTTTAATAATAATATGAACATTAGACTATAAAATTTTTTCGTCAAGTTCGGCTTTTTTTTCATCATGCTATGCTCTTTTGTTTACATTTTCGTGGGTGAGTTGTCCCCCTTTCATTCTCACGATGTGTCTTAATCGTGTTTTCAAATTGATTTTGTTAAAAACAATTGTGTTTTTCCCATTTTCGGTGCCGTTAGAACCACCACAAGGTAATTTTATGTAGTCCTGTGAAGTTTTGTTGAAATCGGCTAAAAAATGTAGGAAATTCGATCCAATATATAAACGTTACAGACACACACACACACACACACACAATCTGCGTTTTATAATAAGTAAGATATAAATATTTGTACATTCATACCTTATCTAATTAAACCAATTCAAACTGTAATATTTCTTTATTCACTCCAAAGTGCTGAATAGAGGAAAGGATCATTATTTTTTGTTTGTGTTTTGGGCAATTTCCTGACCCCTACTTAGCTGCTTATTTAAATCACACTGTTTACTAATTCTGCACTTTTTGTCCCTTTAAATGATTTTCTAACTTCCCAATTTTACTAGGAACCACCCCCATTATTAAGACCCTATCCTTGTATTAGGTACCTAAAATATAATAAATTAAAATTACACATATCCTTGTTAATGTACAGATAAATTTGTTTTTTATTACAGGAAATTTTCCTACCAAACATAAAAATGTGTTTCTCTTAAAGGTGATATTTTTGAGTTGTGACTACTCAGTTTATTAGTCATGATAATAACTTGTATCACTTGAATCCATATTTATGGGAGAATGTGGAAAGCCATATATGACTATCTAAAAGATAATCACTTCCCAAAATCTGACCCACACACCAAATATCAGAATTTTTTTTTTAATTGCTTCTTTGTCAATAACTCAGAAGCTAATAAAGATATTATTAGTCATTTCCTAATAGAGAAACATTTGGTGTTCATTGACCAAGCAGCTAGTGCTCTTTTGGATTAAATTTATAAAATCTTTCTTTTAAAACAATTTTTCAGGAAGATCAGTTTCTCAAGTACAATGTTATTAGCCTTTTCCAGTATTGATAGGGCTTCCTTCCTAATCTTTTGTTTGAAGTAGTGTGGAATGTCAACATTTTTTTATTGTCATTACTGTCTTTTCAAGTTACATGTGATACACATTTTAGTTGTTACAAGTCCTCAAATGATGTGGTTTGTGTCATCTGGTACCATTCTTTGTGATTCTGTAGTGCAAGTCCACAAGGTTCATAGAAGTATGGTCCTCCCTAAGACCTACTAGATTCATTTACTTGAAGCCATTTTAATAAGTATAAACAAATATTGTCACTTAAAAGAAATAAAAGATTAATGTGAATATTTATTTTATTTCGCTATCATCCATATTTTCTTCTTTTTTTTCTTCAGATGGCATGGTGGTGTAAAAAATGTTAGTGAATTAGCCAAAGTATGGGTGAAAAATGGAGCAAGCTGGTTGGGAGGATGCTGTCGGGTGTACCCTGAGGATATAACCAAATTAAAATCTGCAGTGATGAACTTATGACAAAAAGACAGCAGCTCCATTCCAAGACATTCTGTAAAAGGAAAAGAAAAGAAAAATATTTTCCAGGAGCCTTAGGATCTTTCAATATCCAAAATATTGCTGCCTTATTTGCTATTAAATTATGTAACCATTTTTCATGGGTTTCTTTGGCCAAAGAGTGGTGTTCAATGTTTGAACAATGTTTAATTTTGTGCTCAATGTTTTTATTTAAAATAAATAACTTTTTAATTAATTGACTAAATTTCTCTTGTTCTTTTATCTCTCACTCTCTCATTACATACATACATACATATATATATATATATATATATATATATATATATATATATATATATATATATATATATATAATGTAGGTATAATTTATTTCAAGAATATACAATTATCCATCTTTTCAGACTGAAGATTTTTAATAAATGGAGTCAATTTATCCAAACGAAAGGAAAAGGGTAAACCTTATATTGAAATATTTATTTTTCTTTCTTACTCTTTTAATAATAAAAAAAATTTTCCTTTTCTTTTTTCTTTTTTCCTCTCCCATTTATTAAAAAAATTCAGTCTGATGAGATGAATATTTGTATATCATTGAAATAAATTATAACTGAATGGATTTTTAAGGACCGTCTGTACACATATATATATATATATATATATATATATATATATAAATACATGATGAAGGGTTGTGTTACCGGTGAGGAATAAAATGTATATTATATTCATTATTATAGCTCTAAGTACTTTATAAGAATCACATATATCATTGGTGAGGAATGTTATTAATGCTGTCAAATGTTTTAACCAATTTATATTTGTAATTTGAGAGAAAAGAAGCAACCTTTAGAGACCACTTTTAATAACTAAACCTAACTGAATCTAATTTGTTTAATAATTACTATTTTAGTTCTAACATTTTCATTTAGAATATAGACAGATAAATAGAAACTAAATCGAGATTTAGTACGGTCTAAAGATTGCATACTACACAGGTATGCACAGAAAGGAGAGACACTTTATTTGGAATTATATATATATATATATATATAGATGGACACTGAGGTCAATGCTAAGTGGCGACAGTCTGTTTCATGCTTGAACACAATCTTCAGGTCAGATGGTCAGTGGTGCATCATGAGTAGCAAGGTATATTGTATTATCCTAAGAGTTATTGGATAGGCAGTAACGGTTATATTTCAAATTATTCTAGAGGCTATCGAGTAGAAATAATTTTGGATCCAAATGCAGTTATTTATAGCTATTTTATAGTGTTGTTTGTTAATAGACACTATCCCTGACATTGAGCACTTTTGCCCATAAATATATAATTTAAAATTATATTTTTATCATATATATTCCAACTTGGTTTTCTGATTTCCCATTTCAAGATGCTAGCCATTGCATGAACTGCACATCCGAGACTGTTTGACTTATGCACAAATAGCTTTGGAGAAAGACATAAATCTACCGCTTCATCTCCCCCTAGCTATGGATTAAATAGTAGAGCAGACTGGTTTCTTACTCTGAATTCAAAACCTGAGAACTTGTAGCACACTGTGCACAAGTTCTCTGTATTTGGTTCTTCCAGAAAATGTGATTGGTTTTTCACCAGCCATTAATACTATAATTAAATCATATGAGTGTATAGTACAATTGTTCAGTACTAAAAACTGAGTTGCTGGATTCTCATACATTGAAGATTGTGCATTAGTCTATTACTATAATTATAACATAAAGTGATGAAAAAGATATTCTTTGAAGATTTTTTTTATTTAGTTGATGGGTGAGTGGATGGTGTAATGGATTGTGACTCAGGATGAAAAAGCTGGGGAGATCTGTTCAATTTCTAGTCAGGTTCTTTACATTTACTTACAATAACCTTGGGAGAGGCATGAATCCATCTCCTCCCCCAGCTATGGATTAAACAGTAGGATTTATATCTGTGAAAATCAATTTTATTCTCCAAAAATTGTTAATTCATATTTGCTCAATTATTCTTGCAATCTAAAATGTGTTTCTGATTGAAATAATCCACAAAGGTTTGATAAACTATAAAAAAACAAATCACTCAATCAATCAACATAATCTAGATGATATATGGGGAAAAAATAAAGTTTTTATGGGAAATCACAAAATTTTCAGCTCCTCCTATAGCTTTTGTCAGTGCTTGAGATATATATATATATATATATATATTATATATATATATTATATATATATATATATATATATATATATATATTATATATATATATATATATATATATATATATATATATATATATATATATATTATATATATTATATATATATTTATATATATATATATATATATATATATATTGCTTGCACTGAGGAATGTGTAGTGGGACGTCCCTAAACACAGCCTTCGCTCACTCCTCGCTGCTTCGTTTGGGTGTTGCCGCTCCAAACGTGACGTCCGCCTGTTTGCGTCAGTCGTGTTGTCCCGTCCTGTGACAACCAACTGGCTTAGTATCGGTCGCGGCACCCAAATGTGACGTTCTAACCTTTTGGTGATTCGGATGGGAATCTGGTTAGATTCGATATCAGCCTTGTCTTTCCCAACTCACTTCCAACATCTGGTTACCAAAGTAACTGCGTTGATCTCCAGTCTGCCTACCCACATTGTGAATTGATCTTAGGCAGACAAAATCAATCAGTAGTTGGGGCCGTAATGCAAATCAAGTTCAACCGAGGGTGACACCGCACAAATATGCATAAAAGAAAATAAAATGATAACTCAAAAGTTCAAGGTATCAAAAAAAAGGATAACAAAACTTTATGTCTAGTTGCTGGATACATAGGACTGCGTCTATCTCCCGACCCGCTATATGGATTGTGACACGTTGTTCTTTTGTTAGGCGAGTTTTAACACTTTAAGTTGTCTGTTCTTCAAGAAATTGGTTCTTGGTGTGTCTTCAGGCGAAAGTCGAAAAAACTTATTTTGGTGGTCTGGATTTAAGTCGCTTTTCAAAATAATTGTTCTTGGATTGAAGATGAGTTCGGAAGCTGCGCAAATCTTAGTCAGCTGCGAGGCACTCTTCTCTGCTGAACTCTCCAGGAAACTCTCCGGGAAACTCTACTCAACTCAACTCAACTGCTCGCTGCGACTTTGCTTATATGGATGCCGATCAAAACCGGGGTGGGTTTGTCGGCATCGGAGGTTCCTCGATAATTCTAAATACATATCCACTTCTTTTGTTTTTGGTTAGGAATTTTCCACTTCTTTCCATTTTTGGAAGTCTTCTCTTACTCCCACTTTCTCACCATACTTCAGAGGGGCGTCAACTGTCCTCCCCACTTCTTTGTAGCAACCTCTCATACCCATCCTCTAGGTGGGCGGTGGCGGCTTCCCTCCTTGCGTCACGTGATCACCACTCGGCCAATGATGTCCAGCCAGGCGTGTGCGATCCAGTTGCCTTTGTTTCAAGAAGAAAAAATATATCTTGCTCACAAAAAAAATTATCTTTTTCTTTTCCTTTTCTTTCCTTAATTGCAGCTCTCACCTTCTCTGGCCGCCAACAGAACAATGCGACCAGTAGTGTGATAACCTCAATTCTTCACCTGGACCTCATCAGTCAGATTCTCGCTAATTATCAGAATGGGTGGTCAACTAACACAACACAGTCGACTGTCGCCTCGAAAAAACAGTTCCATTGTTCTAGTCATTCTTTGGTGCCAATTTCTGATAACATAGTTTTGTTATCACAACTGAAGATGTCTTGTCAAAAAAACGGTCAGCTGTTACTTCGTGAGCGGCTTAGCAGATGACACAGTTAATTTTTCTTATCTATCCAAAGCCCTGTATTTCACCTGTTCTTTGTCAATTATCAAAATAACATTTTCAATTGGAGTTTTCTTGGCTAGTCGGTCTGTGGTTTGCTAATTAAATGTTTTGCCCGCATTAAGTGGCTGTTATCTATCCTCGATAACACAAGTTCGTCGCCAGAACATAGTCGATTCCCTTATCCACTTAGAATTTTTCTGCAATGGTAATGACACCTTTCGCCATTTTCTACTTATCAAAATAACATTGTCAATTGTCCCCGGTTGTGGGTGGTTTATTTTATCATCTACACTTAAGTCTCGCCTCTCTTTTCCTTTCTCTTTTTCCTTTCTTTTCTTTTTGCTTGGTAAATGGTGCCACAGTAGGTTTGTGTATAAGTGTATTTATATGTATTTATATATATATATATATATATATATATATATATATATATGTATGAGTGTGTGTGTATATGTGTGTGTATATATATATATATATATATATATATATATATATAAGGTGGGAGGGTATGGAAGATAAGAAGAGAAAAGGTTAAAAAATGATGTGTATGTGCGTGTATTTGTGTATGTGTGTGTGTATATATGTATGTGTGTATATATGTATATGTATATGTATATATATATATATATATATAAACACCTCGAGGCAGTATAATGGATGGCAAGCTTGGTTTGCTAGATCAATTGCGAATTTCTGTTTGTATGAATGTGTTTATATATGTATGTTAGGGTATGTGTATATTGGTGTGTGCAGGTATTTGGATATATGTTTATGTACGTATATGTATGTATGTTTATATATGTATTTGGTTGAATGTTGTTGTATTTATATGTATGCACGTATATATTGGTACTTGTTATTATAGATAGATATATTTATGTATTTACTTATATGTAGATATGTATGTATGTATATATATGTATGTTTGTGGATGTATATGTGTGTGTTGACACCTATTATATATGAGATTGTTTGTGTATATGTGTAGGTATGGAAACTTTGGTATGTTATTACTACCACAGTAGTTAGTCTTTATATGTATTGGTGCATGTATTTATATTGGTGCATATATTTATATATGTGAGTATGTGTGCATAAAAATGTGTGTATATATGTGGGTATATATGTTTATATGTATGTACATGTATGTGTACTTGTTATCATAGATATGTATATATATTTATATGTATGTATT